ATCCTCCTCTTCCTCCTGCACCGGGGCCGTGGACTTCAGCATCTGCGACAGCTGCTTGTTGTTAAGGCTGAGCTGGATGGGGAGAGGGAAGGGGAGAGGATGAGGATCCAGCCAGAAGCTGGATCCGACTGTTCCCACAACATGCCTGGACATCTCCCACAGCTGATGAGGTTTTCAGGGAAAAGCAAATGAATTAAAGCTTCCATAAGGGGTGCGAGTGCTCCCCGCGGTGACAGACAATCGATTCCCTGCAATAATTACATCCAAGTGCTGCTAATCCACAAATTACAAACCAGTGCTCACAAAACCCCCAGGGAAATCACATTCCTGCAGAATCTTGTCGAGATCTGAGGAACCCAGGCAAGGAACTGCAGCAAAGGACTCGGCCTTTCCTTTCTGAAGGGAATGGGGGAAGTGGGTAAAGGCCCAAAGGCCACCAGCCTATGTCACCCCACAGTGGGGCACACACACACACACACCTTTGGGCTTCTACCTCTGGATAAAAGGGGCATTTAGGTGTCTCTCCCTCTTTAATCCCCTGGGGACCAAAATCCGTCAAATCCTGAGCAACAAAGCCCAGGTGGGCTCTGCAAGGGCTCTTTACAGCCTTGGATCAGGGTGGCTTGAGGGGCTGTGCCTCTCCATACCATGGATGAGATTCCCTCCTCCTCCTCCTCCTGGATTCGCTTCACTGGCTTCAGGAGCTGCTGCAGAGACTTGTTGTGTCGGGAGAGCTGGAGAGGGACAGGGATGGTGACAGTGAGCACAGTGGTGGCACAGGGGGTGCAGGATGGCCAGCAGGCCACGGCTGCTCCCCAAGGAGGCCAATCTGGCTGCAGGAAATGTGCATAATTATGGAGAAAAACGTGCACAAATACAGAGAAAAAAGTGTAACCTTTGAGCACAGCCTGGCAGGATGCTCCCTACCTGCAATGCCAGGATATAAATGTTGTGTCCAACTTCCCGGGGGGAAACCTCGGAGTTTTCACACTCCTCCTCCTGCAGATAGGCCTTCTTAATCACATCCACCTGCAAGGCAGCACAGGGGCACTGAGCTCCTCCCCACACCCCAGCTGGGATTTGGGCAGGAGGAGCAGCAGTGGGGCAGGGGAGGTGGTTCTTGGGTGCAAAGCAGAAACTGCAGCACGACCCAGGGCAGAGGACGTTCAGACATGGGCTGGGGGCTCTGTGGGACATTCCCAGTTCCCTCACCAGTTCCTGGGGACGGAGGCTGATGAGGATCCGCTCGGCATTTTCGCTGTCATGCCTGCTCTCCATGAGGGCCAGGAGGAGCTTGGAGGCATTGTCCTGGTGAGGAGAAGCCCTTGGTGAGGAACTCACAGATCCCAGGCACAGGGAAGATGATCTGCTCCATGCTCCGGTCCAGCCGCACGATCTGTGCAAAGCAGAGCCTCAGGTCCTGCTCTGCCATGGTGTTTTCCTCCTTCCCAGATCCAGCTGTGCCTTCCCCTCCTCCCTCCCACTCCACAGGATCCAAATATTTTCAGCCACTCATTTAAAAGCTTCCAAACTGCCCAGAGCAGAGGCAGCCCTGGCTATGGGAAGTGGGAGTGTGGGAATGGGGGATCCATGCCAAGGATGAGGCTGCTGGATCAGCTGCATCCCGCTGCTGCTGGGAGAGGAGGGAACGGTCCAGGGGGCTGCTCATCCCTCAGTTCCTGGAGCTAATGCTCCTGCCAGCATGGGGATGGGAAGGAGGGACAGCTCTTGGTGCAAAATAATTGGATATGAGGCATCTGGAGCCAGGTAGGATTCATGGGCCGTGGGCAGGCTGGAAAGCCAACAGCCAGAGGTCTTGCCTCGATTTGGGATGTGTGTTTCTCGTAATAAGCCAGTGGATCCTCCTCTTCCTCCTGCACCGGGGCCGTGGACTTCAGCATCTGCGACAGCTGCTTGTTGTTAAGGCTGAGCTGGATG